GAGATGAATTTTCCTGACGTGTCGAGCCAGCGGGTGCAGGATCTGGCGCCTCTCCCGTGGCTTTTCACTGACGAGGATCGTCGCGTCCATCAGAGGCGGATGCGTCGCCTCGCCATCGCCGAGATGGACGTGCAAGCCTTGGTGCTGTCGCGCGAACACTTCCCGTAGGACATCGTCGACGAACGCCAGTTCTATGAGCAGAGGAGGACGGAGAGGAAGGCAAGGAGGACGGAGCAAGCCGCCTATCGGGAGGGCAAGCGTGCGCGGAAGTTGACCGCTCAAATGAGACTGAAGCAGCGAGAAACATCGTGGTGGGACTTCACGGACGAGCATTCTGCTGACGTCTATATTCAGACGTCGGAGGAGGACATTACCGAGTCAGAGTCGGAAACCGACGAGTAGTTGATACTTTCTTTTATCTATGTACGCAAGAACTATCTATCTATCCTTTTTCATCGAAAAAATGGCCGGCGGCGTCAGCCACGAAGCGGGTGGCGTCGGTCACGAAGCAGGCGGTGGAGGTTGCGCACGCGTAGGGAGGAGAGAGGGCGCGCGCGCGCCCGTTTTGTGTCTGCGCCGACGCAAATCAGGCTCAAAAATGGGCCAGGAATGGGTCGGCAGGCGGACGAAAGCGGACGCGCGTCCGTTTCGGTCGGCGCGTTGGGCCGTCTTTTCTGTCCGCGCCGACCGAAACGGATGGTGGCGGACGAAATAGGTCGCCCGATTGAAGTTGCTCTAATACTTCACGCTAGCCGGCGTCTTTATCTGGCCGCTGCCACCGTTACTTTAAGAAAATGAGATTCATAGGCACTAGTTTCAGGACATAATTTTATAGAGGAAGCTCATCCGGGACGAGGCATCAGATAATTTAACCCTAACGGGGTTCGAACCCTGGTTGCAGGGTGAGCCACTGCCCACCCTTGCCGCCGGCACTTTCACGTCGACAGCGTTGGCGTTGGCGGCTGTTGGGACGGAGCGGTCTAGATAGAGCAAAGCAGTTGAGCTAAGGCCATGACGGGCGGCGAGAGGCGATGTGGTCAGGAGAACAGGAGACTGAGGCAATAGGCGTCACCACCGCAACAGCGACAAGGCGACCGAGGCAAAGGCAATGCAACCACGACATCTCAACAACTCGTCAGTCAACTGCTACCACCGCATTCACAACGACGTGAGCCAATCCATGCGAGTACCACCTCATCTCTTTTTATTTCCAATCTTCGTACGGCACGGTCTTGTCCTGCCTCCCGCCTTCGGTTCATCGAGAAGGCACATCGGTCCGTCACGCACTTCGTCCTTCTTGCTGCCTGCCCTGCCCTGCAGGATGCGGCGGCAGCATGGCCGGCCGTGGCCAAGTGCAGACACGGCAGCTGCGTGGCGTGACGTTGGCGGTGTCAAGTCTGGCCAGCCGTAGCGACGCGGCTGTGGGCACCGGCATCGGCATGGACCCCCGTCCGCAACTTTCCTCCCGTCGCGGAATCCTCCCGGCTCTATGCACGAGCAGGCGCAGCCACCGGAGAGAAGAGAACCGCCCCGTCCGTGTCAAGCACAAAACAACGGGTGCTCGTGTCGTGTACGGTGTACCCCTCTGCGCCCACTCACTAGTTCCTTTTTTTTTTTTGAACTGCGCGGTCCTTGTCTTAGACATTTTTTGGCCACGATGCAGCCATGCAGGCATGTTTGGATACAAACAGGGTTGAGAGGGTCTCTGTGGTGTCCAGTTAGAGTTAGTATAAGTTTTTTTTTAAAAGAATAGCCCAGTTTTGTTTTTGCACTTCAGAATAATTTAGTACTCCCTCCGTCTCATAATATAAGAGCGTTTTTTACACTAATGTAGTGTCAAAAACGAAACGGAGGGAATATAAGTGAGGCTCGTTCACGTCATGCAAGGGGCCATTTTATGCTATTACTGGGCCGCAGGAGTGTTGGGCCGAGTCTAGCCTACTGGACCGAGACTGTCTCGGGCGTATGCATGCTTCGTCTGAAAAAAAGAAGTTAAAACTGGCCGTCGCTGAAAACATTGCGATGACTTAATAAAGCTATGCATGATTGTCTGAAAAAAATACATGAAGTTCTTTTCTATTTTCTATAAAACATTTGATGCATCTTCAGAAAAAATATACTTCACGCGAATAGATATATAAATAACAAATTTAATAGACAAATAAGATGGTCTACGTATGAATTTCCTTTTAGTTCGTACAATTTGTGAGATTCATGTATGTATACCAACTTAACAAAAAAAATCGCTAGTGAAAAATATTCAATAGGATCACCAAAAAAAATATGCAATACAAAAATATGTTTTTTGCCGGGATACGGAACATATGATTCGCTCCAATGTGAAATTTTCTTTGTGCATTTCAAACCACAATGTTCATGACTATAAATAGTGCCTACATATACTAGACAAAGTTTTTTCGCACAAAATATTCACATATATAGTGAAGTGAACTAAAAAAATTCTCACCTACTTAAAAAGTCTTCATGTATTTTGCAGCAGATTTTTTTAAAATAAAAAATTTAAACATACAAATGACAAAATATAAAAATAATGTTATAGAAATGAAACGAAGAAAAGGTAAGGAAATATATAAATGGAAATAAGTTTTTCATAGTAAAGCACACATATAAGATACCCTGCAAAAAAAGTACACATAGATGATAATGACATTTTTTTAAAGGAAACAACCGAAGAAATGGAGAAAACAACAACACACGAAGGGAAAAGAATATCCCGTTATTGTGCTGGCCCAACTATCCGGAGCACCTTCTTATCACTCACTTAAGTCGAGCGCTTGCCTAAGAAAATCTTAAGCCGAGCGTGAATCTAGCATTCCCTCTTTGACGTTTATCGCGCAAATTGACGCACAAACGCACCGGAAAGCGTTAGGATTTGCCAATCCAATTAGTGTTACAAGAATCCTTCTCCAGATTTTGGAAACTTCTAGAAGGTTATGTCCTATTTATCACTGATATTGGGAACCTTCTAGAAGGTTCTCTTTTCTGCTTTTTCTTAGTTTATTTTATTTTAAAATAGTTCATAGTTTCAATGAATATTTGTAAAATTTTAAAAATATTAATAAGTCTTGAAAAAAGTTCAATCTTTTTAAAACAATCATCACAAAATATAAAAAAGTAATTATAATTTTAAAATGTCTCAAAACTCAAAAAGGTTCATTTTTTCCAGAAGAAAAATTTGAAAATAAGGGATTTTAAAATAAAATAAAAATCATATGTTCAAAAACTGCTCTTAATTTTTCTAAAAATGGCAACCTTTCTAAAAAATATATTTATTTTCATAAAAACTATTCATGTTTTCAAAACTAACTGAAAAACTACAGAAAAACAAAATAAATAAAAAACCAAGCAACCGAAGTCGACCGAAAACATGGCAACGCTCGCTCAAGAAACTGATGCTAAAATGGGCTGGCCCAGTAATGATGGCCGGTATATTTATCCTCCTATTTGACGGAGTCACGCACTTGCGTCACGTTGGAGTTCCTAGCGAATCTATGTTGAGGGATGTCTCGGAAGAAGAGTAATGCTACACCTACGTAAGGGATCAAACGTAATTGATTAAGTGGCATCTTTTGATTGGATGAAATCAGGGAAGGGG